CTGAGATCAAGCACTTGATATACAAAGAAAGCAGTCAAAAAAATAAAAAATAAAAAATACCCCACTGAGTATTATGGCTTCATTCTACAAAAAAAATAAAAAAATAAATAATAAATCCTCGTGCCAGGAAAGTGGCTGATGATTAGCTGAGAAAGTCATCATCTTAGGGCTCAGAATGAGATCAGATGATGGTTGGAGTGGGAGATGGACATTGGTGAAACTGGCATCCTGGTGCTATAAATGAGAGGTGATTTCAGACTGCTGTAATGTTCATGGGTGGTGAAGCAGACATGACTAGTCAAAGTTTGTTGGTTTGTGAGGGCAGGCAGGTGGAGAATGACCACCGCTGCAGAAGGAAATGTGCAAGTATGTGAAGGAAGAAAGCATGAGCCAGCTTTAGTGCTGTGAAGTCGTTTGAACAGGCTAGAGATTTCACACCTATAATGAAAACACTTTAGTGGCTGTCCATCAGTCTTGGTTGAGAAAGTTGGTCAAGAGGATGGACAGAGAAGTTCAGCTAGATTGATATTCTGGTCAGAAAACGTTGACGATGGTGGATTGAGACCGGGGAAGGTTTTTAGGGAGTTGGTTGTTTGATGGATATGTGCAGAGAGAGGTACGGTGAATAACGTGGTGAAAGATGGTTGAAGGTCTGCCGGAAGAAGAACTTCATTAGTAATTCAGAACTCTGGGGTGTGGGGTTGGTGACATGAAAGCAGTTGAGAGAGTCAGAGGATGCTGGGCACATTTTACTCTTTTTAGAAACAATCATTAAGGACAGTGGTGATTTGGAATCTAGATTATATAACTCATTCATTCAGATTTTTTTTTTTTTTTTACAATGCACATGGCTTTGTGATACCACCCCTTCCTCTGTCAACTAATGTCTTGTACACTGCAAAGCCTGGTGGTACAACATTGGCACTGTGTGTCTTCTGTTCTTGTGAGAGTCATTTGTTTTCCTCTTTGGTTTTCAGTCAAGCATGAATGTGTTTTATTTGAACAAGCAAAAGCTCATGCAAAGCCATATCCTCAACAGGTTTTAATGGTTCTTACTGAACAAACAGCCACAGAAAACAATGTCAGTTTGACCTACAGATAGAGGACCATGGAAAGAAGCATTTTCTCAATTTTTCCTTCTTGCAATGCTGTTACGGGAGATATAGTAGGAAAGCATGATTTTTAAATTCAGAAAACGAACTTAAGCTTGGGCTTGCTGTTGACAATATCACACTGATCTTTCCTTTTCCTTACTTGATGGTCTAAAATCTGCTAAACCGGTGAGGACACCCGGGATGTTTCTGTGTGGAGTTTGCATGTTCTCCCCGTGCAGCGTGGGTTCTCTTCAGGTTCTCTGGCTTCCTCCCACGAGATCCAAAAACATGTTGAGGTTAATTGGTGATTCTAAATTGTCCGTAAGTGTGAATGTGAATGTGTTTGTCTCTAAGTGTAGCCCTGTGATAGACTGGTGACCTGTCCAGGGTGTCCCCTGCCTTCACCCTAACTCAGCTGGGATAGACTCCAGCCCCCCACGACCCTAGTGAGGATTAAGCGGTGTATAGATGATGGATGGATGGATGGTTTTAATCTCAGTGTATTTAGGAAACATGGGTCATAGTTTAAGTGTAGACCTGATGTGAACCTCCACCTACGTCCACCTCTGTCATGTTTTGTAATCCACAGGTATCTGTGTGGAGAGCGTTGTTTGGCAAGGAGGCAGACAAGCTGGAGCAGGCCAACGACGACGACAAGACGTACTACATCATTGAGAAGGAGCCCCTCGTCAACACCTTCATCTCTGTCCCCAAAGAGAACAGCACCTTGAACTGCGCAGCCTTCACCGGGGGCATCGTGGAGGCCATCCTCACCCACAGCGGCTTCCCCGCCAAGGTCACCGTCCACTGGCACAAAGGCACCACGCTCATGATCAAGTTCGATGAGGCGGTGATTGCCAGAGACAAGGCACTGGAAGGACGATAGAGACGAAGAGGATGACAGGATGGCAGGGCGTCTGTGAGCAGAGGCGTGAAGGGACTGATGACATGTCTGTAAAACCGTTTTTGGATTGTAAATTTAAGGAGAGCTTAAACTGAATGCACAAAAAAAACCCGAAATAAATCAAGCAGTTATTTTCATCACTGATTAACTGCAGATGAGTCCAAGTGATGACTGATGATTTATTTTTCATTTGGTCAATAAAAAATAATAATAATAATAATAATAAAAGAAAATTCCTGTTACAGTTCCCACACTCAGGCTGATGTATTTAGAGTTTCCATGTAATTTCAAATAGAACAGAACAGTATTTTTTTTGTTTGTTTTGCACAATGTATTAGCCTGACAACAGTTTTCAGGCCAATCAGCTGATGACTAACAGGATGACAGTTGTCTATACATGTTTGTATGAGATCATGGCAACACCAGAACAATCTATCAGTGCTGTAGTCGTTAGGTGGGGCCATAGATATGTATAATTCAAGAGTTTTTATTGTCATATGCACAGCAAAACAGGTATTTATACTGTGCAATGAAATTCTTATTCTGTTCATTCTCCCTAAGGAGAGTAAAACGGATGTCTGCCACGGAGGGTGCCATCTTTTCGTTTTTTTAATAAAGCCTTTATTATACATATCTATGGGTGGGGCAGCTTTACTTGTGTAACATATTAAAACTACAATTAAAGCACTATATTTATGCAAAAAAACTGTGTATACTTGTGTATTGCAAAGATAAAATGTAGATAGATGCAAATACAGAAGTGTTTTTTTGAATATAGTCATTTATTTTCATGAGCTCTGGAAATAATTGTTACGAAATCGTGGATGTTTTACGATACAGGATGGTTTAACTGGGAAATAAAATGTTGGGAAATCAAGGAGGAAAGGTGTGTCGTTTGTGCGTGAGGAGGACCAAGTACTTTTTGTTTCTGTTCAAAGTGCCACAAATGTGATTTTGAGTAGATTAATTGTAAAATCAGTTGCCAGAAATAGCTTATTTTTAATTTAGAAAAAGCCCAGGTGGACTGAATTTAGTGAATGACACATTCAGTGACAGCTGACAAAAACAGTGGCCCAATTTAATAGTTTGTCCTGACTGAGTTGAAAATAAAGACAGAAAAAATGATCACACATCTAACTAAACTGGTTGCAGCTTTTTCATTAAGTCACAAGAAACATCCAGTGTGGCATAAATCCAACAGAACACTGTGATGAAAAGTATGTTTGTGAAATGTATTTTACATTAATTGAGTTTAATACAAAATGTCTGAAGAAGCTTCTACTATCATGAAGATTGTCAAGTTTTGATTTTTTTTTGGAAGCTGTAGTATGCAGTGTCCTTAAACTGTACTGAATTATACAGTGTTCTGAAAAAGCTAAGGTTGCATTCAATAAATTAGGATTTAGAAGTTTCATTAAATACAGTAAATCAATAGAAATGTGACATTAATGTGACAAATTAGATGGAGATGGAGAATAATGTCACTTTTAGGAATAATAAAAACCTGATTCCTATTCACTCACAGTCAAACAAATAATATATATTATAATTGTAGTAATTTAGAATTTTAATTTATAAGAAATATAGTTTATGATATATTTAGAATAGACTGTCTTATGAATAACAGTAAATCAGTGTCCTACTGTAAACCTCCTGACACCTCAGAGCGCAGTCACGTGGTCACGTGGTGTCGGTCACATGACCAGACGGGGCGGACTGAGTTTGCGCAAAACGGTGGAAGCAGCGGCTCGACCCGGCTGCTGTTTTGTATGCAGTCATAAACAGTTACTACAATAGCAACAGTTTTTTTTTTGTTTTTAGCTTTTTCATTCACCTATTTATTGAGTTTTTTTCTAAACAAATGGCTGCGACAGGACGACGGGACTCTGGTAATGTACCGCTTTTAAATATAACGTTTAACTTAGCTTTTACTGTCGACTCTGTTCACATGCAGAGGTTGTTTTGCTTGTTAATACACAGGTGGTTCTTTGCTAATTTAAAACGGTTAAAATCTGCTTTTTAGTGTCCGAAATGTAAGTAGTAGTTGTTGAGGCATCAATAACATCGTCACCGTAGTCGTCACTGTGTTTCTACCCGGTCATCTTCTGGGCAGGTTCAGTATCATCAAGTGTGTTTTTCCCCACAAACACCTCCTTCAAGCATCAGTTTGTGCCCGGTGGTGACTCTGTGTTATAATCCTCGTTGACACTGTGAGATTTTCCCTGTGATCTCCTCCACAAGTCACAGAAACTTCTCAGAGGTGCACACGGCTGGAAAACAACAACAGAGAGGTCGTCAAGGCGTTTTATTTGTCACAGAGCAAAACACAGGGCAGGGAAACCCAATATAAACCTGTCAGAGATGGTAATTAGCTGCTTATCTCTCCCACAAGTCCAGCTTCAGAAAATGTAAAAAGATTTTCTGATTTTACACAAGTGAAAATGCAGTAATTGTTATAGGTTTCCCACTCAACTACAGGTTTTGTCTTAGAATTGCTTGTTAAATGGAAACAAGAGCAGAGTATCATCAATGTAGAGCTCATGTGATTAGTTGACAGTCAGTTTTTTTAAAATGCATTATGTGAGTCTTTTGAAAATATTAAAGATTCATTGTTCACGGGTTCCTAAATGTGAGCATTTGCTGCTTTTATTTCTTGCATTTTACCATAAATCGTTAACCTTTTGGATTTGGTTTGGATTTTTCAGACGAAACAAAACATTTCATGACTTGTTTTTAGGTTTGATGGACATTTTTCCCCATTTTTGACATTTATAGAGAAGCTGATCGGTGGTTTAATTGTAGAAGTAGTTGACAGATTAATTAAAATTGAAAATAATAGCTGCAATAATCTTAATGTGTGTTCACTAGTTTGAGCTTTATCTCCTTGTATTGCAGAGTGTAATTAGTAGATTATCTTTAAATTGAATCTGCTGACCTAGTCATATTATTACCGATTGGGGAACCGTACCTTGTGGGGAGTTTCAGTGGTTGCAGTGGTTGTGTTATTCCTTGGTCAAAAGGAAACTCATGTAAAGGTTCTCTCCAAGTGAGACACAGGTGTTGCACCACTTCAGCTTAAATCTTCTAAATCAGGTACATCTTGGTGCTCTCACTCTTTCATGCTTAATAATCACTCTAAGTCTGCTTCATAAGCTTCTTACGTGCGTGGTTGAGTCTGCAGGGGTTTTTTTGGTTGTTAATGGGGGTTGGTTGAATTATAACTCTGTTGTGAAAGATTCTTGGATTGATTGTTAAAGTTAATCTTGTAGTTTTACTTGAAAGATTGTAACTGATGTAAGTTTTTATGAAGCTTTTATGGATGTTTAATGTGGTTGTAAAGTGAAAAAATAAAAGCCAGGAAGTAAAATTTGAGTTAAGATAGAATTTTGAAATATTTCCTGGTCTGCCTGCAGAGCTGAGTCACGCAGATTAAGGCCTCCTTTATCTAGCATCACAAACAGTAAGTCAAGTTAAGGATCAATTCACCTAAAATATAAAAGGCTTTTTTTTTATTCCCACTCTTGAATAGTATCTTGCTGCATATGCAGAGGTTTTGAATTATGTGTTTCTAATTGTTGCTGCCACCAAGTGAACTGGAGCAAAGCCTGAAAGAAATATCGTGATGTTCAAAGCAATGGAAGTCATTTCTGTAGATGATAAAAGTATGAATGCTGATTTATAAAAACTAAATCTGTTGGTGGAGCCAATTAGCTGTTGATTGTTTCCTTTTGGTACTTTACTTGGTTGCTTCCCTCCATGATACTGTTTCAGAGATGGACATCTCAAAGCTTTAGCACATAAAATCTAAATTATCAGCCCTCGCTACTGACATTAGGGTAAGTAAGACAGTATACGTTTTATTTGGTTTGGTGATTTGGGTGAACGGTCATTTTAAGGCAGCATGATCAGGCCTGGGCTGCACGGTGGCTCGGTTGTTAGCACCATCGCCTCACAGCTAGAAGATCCCTGGTTTGCGTCCCAGTTAGGGTTCTCTCCAGGTTCTCCAGCTTCCTCCCACAGTCCAAAAACATGCTGAGGTTAATTGGTGATGCTAAATTGTCCGTTGGTGTGAATGTGAGTGTGCTTGGTTGTCTGTCTCTAAGTGTAGCCCTGTGATAGACTGGTGACCTGTCCAGGTGTCCCCTGCCTTCACCCTGAGTCAGCTGGGATAGACTCCAGCCCCCTATGACCCTAATGAGGATTAAGCGGTGTATAGATAATGGATGGATGGATCCGACCTTTCTCATCATAACTCCTGAGGAGAAACTAATCTAAACTTTTAACATGCTGCTAAAAAACAAATCTAAATTCGTATAAATTATCCCTTCCTACCTACAAATAACCCAGAATATGTTTAACCGCATATAACCTTTTTTGTTCAGGGTGTTTCCTGTCGTGTAGGCCTAAGTGGAAGTTTTGGACTCTCATGCTGTGGGTGGCCTCTCGCAGTGGAAGGCAAGGCTAGATAGAAACACTGATACCGAGTTGTTGACAGAGCTCCAGTAACACCAAGCGTTTCGATGGGCTGACAGCCGGCTGTCATTGTGTCTGCCAGCGCTCCACAGGCGACGGTGAACCAGACGAGCCGGATATTTTCATAGATTTATTCAGCTTGAGTGACTCTGTCGCTAAGTGTCAAACCTGGCCAGACGGTCAGTGGCGTGCACCCACTTTGTTTGTCTGATTGCTATCTGCCGTGACCATCAATACACTCCTCTGATCGGAGATATGGCCGAGCCTTTCACCCATTGTCTGCATGAAATGTTAAGTGATTGGATTCTTTCAGCAGTTTCTCATTCCTCTCTCCAAGGCACGCAACCCCTGTTATTAAAGCCGGCCCCAGAACGCCTGCCTCGCCTGTAGCTGAGGTGATTAAACTACTGTCAGTCTCAGATAATTGCGTTGAAGCCAGCTGTTCATCTGGATGTTACCAGCAGGTGTTGGTTAATGCAGAAAGGGATCCCTATTAATATGGCTTTGGATTACTGCAGAAAACTATCATAAAATCCCAGGTTTGAACTGAGACAGACACACAGATTGAAACCACATTACTAAATCACTGCCAGAATAGCAAGTGTGTCGAGTTTTAAGCAAACAAGAAACTGCTAATGGCTGCTTTAGCAACATTAAGCTAGATGAATTAATTACATGTAGACATTGTGTCTGCGTCACACCACAGTATATTTAAACCATGGCAGCTGTTTGTTTACATTAGATTATTAGTCGTCTACTTTAGCCACAATGATCCTCTTGCAAATTCAATTATGGGAAAACCTGATAAATACAGTGTCACAACTTAAAACGCTGGGATTGTTCCAGTCCTGCTGTTTTCTGTTTGATGCTCTTCTCTTGAACTCTCATCTTGTTGACACTAATATTGAACACCGGTGGTTTATGGCTCCTGTTTCACTTCTTGTTTCCTTTGGACAGCTCTGCTCAGCTTGCAGCTTGCTCTGCTGACTTGTTGTGTTTGATGAGTCGGGATTTATCTCGATTCAGCAGCGTGCAGCTTGCACAAGCTGACTGACACTACCTCGGATAAATTCCCCATTCCTTCCAGTAAAGAACACTAAATCACATGCTCTATTATCGTGTTTACTTTATGACCATTTTCAAGTTTATTACCGCAAGTCACTTCCTGCATGGAAAGGGAGCGAACTAGCTGACTGACCTCATTCTTTGCTGTTTCTTTTTAGCAGTCAGGTCAATCAGGCCTAAAACTTGTGACCAGTATTAGGTATGATCAGCCTACTTTGTGACTGGTAGCTTTTCCGTGAAATGTGGTCAGTTGCCGACAAGACGTGACACATTTAGCAGCCGTGTTTCTAACCGTGGGTTGTCCGCTCTGTCGTCGAGCTTAGTCACACTCTCTGGCTTCACCATGTCAAGTTACACTGACTGTCTGTGTCTATAATTCCATCTGTAGTTAACTTGTTTTCACTTTCTTTTTAATTGATGTCAGCTCTGTCCACAACATGCATAGTTTGCACATAGTAATCATTTAAAGATTAGTTTCAAAGGAGGATATTTTCTTTTTCAAAAGCTTTAAAGTCCATATAAATTGCTTGTCTCTATTTTCCTCACGTTACTTCCTGTGCAGCTTATTCTCATTGGAAACACTCCGTTTAAAATCAATCATTCATGTTTTCATTGTCTCGTGTGTGCCTGTGTGTGAAGTAGGACACTGTTGATTCATATCATGAACTAATGACGTGTTATCACATAGTGCTGCATTGTCACCTCCTAATGCTCAAATAAACTCGTCACTATTCATAAAACTGCAGAATGAGACAGTACGGGAGCCCTTGGGGTAATAATGAGCTAACAATAGAGCATATAGCTGTTGTGTTCGTGTCATTTCAGTTGAAAACTCGCAAACCGTCTCTTGCTGTTGCACATTGGATGAGTAAACATAACCAGTGGAAAGTAATGTGTCAGAATTACTTAAAAAGATCTTGCCGTCATACTTTCTGTAATTGGTAAACTCTGTTGCCTAGAAATTGGGATGGGTTTGTTCCATGTAACTTCAGACATGCTCTCCTCAGTTTCTTACTGGTGTCAAACCCAGTCGGGCCAGACTTCTGAAATACTCTGAACCATCTCAGGAATCTGTCTCACCTGTGCTGCTGCTACTACACTGACGTTGACACAACAGACATCTTGGGAAGATTTATCCCCTTTAACTGTCCCTGGTTGAAATACATTTCTACACCCAAGACTCACCCGGAAAAGAAAGTATGACTCCTCTCCCGCTGTAATAAGAAATGAAATGAAATGAAATGAAATGAAAAAAAATGAAATGAAAAATACTTTATTCATCCCAGAAGGGAAATTCAATCAAGAATGTAATAATATAAGTTTTACATTGTTTTTAGAGATGAATAAAACTACTTTAGAGGACAGCCCTGTCATTTTTTGTTGTATTTTTTTTGCATGAGTAACTTTGGAGTTGAACGGGTTAAATCACACGTGAAGGAATGGAGGACGTTCTCATGCCAGAGGGCACAGAAAGAAGTAAAACTGCACACACAGTGAAAGACACAAAGAAGGCGTCCGACTGAGGTGAAAGTGGCGAAAGGCTGACTGTTCAGGCTCAGCAGCACGTGTGGCGCAGACAGATGGAAGAAGTCTGTGTCACTGAGAGGAAAGTTGAGTGAAATGACTGAACTCAGCACTTTGGGAAGCTCAGCTCACGTGATCGGTGCTTTTTAACCCGTTTAAGTAGCCACAACCGTTGGACAATAAGGGCTCTTGTTCTCGGTGGTTGTCTCTGTGTTTTGCATTTAATACAGTGAATGCTTGAGTTATTGTGGCTGAATGTTTTGTAGATGTGCTGCACTGTGATGTAGATTCATTTACCATGTTCAGCATCTTAGACCACCGTTTTGGAACGTGGCATCTATGAATGAGAAAATGTTACACATCAAACATTGCGGACTCAGATGTCATGGATCTATCCTCTGTAGACTCTGATTGTCTTTACGAAAGTCCATAGAATAATCTTTGGTATTGCCAGAAATCAAACACGTTTATTAAATTTAAAAAATAATCAAACACACAAAAAAGACGTATAATTAATGAGTGATGTAAATGTTTCGTCCATTCTCCACTCACTTAATTCATCATGAAACATGACGCGTCAGTGTCTAGCCACCTGAAATAAACAATTTCATGGGGAAGCCCTTTGACCCATTAAACTGCTGTACTTCCTCATGACACGACAGTCAAGTTAATGTCAGCTGTAAAGATGAGGGAGGTCAGCAGAACAACACGAGAACACACCTTCTGTGGTGAAATGTTGTACAGTTCTGAACATTGTGACTCTGGTTTTGTAACACTGGCACATGCCAGCGCGGAGTGAAGATGCTGTGGGGAGGAAGAACTTCTGGGAGATTTACAGGATGTGAAAACAGGGCCTACCTCAAATGTATTTTGGTCATTTTACTTATCTGACGTATACTGTGCAGCATTGATGACTAAAATGAGAAAATTCATCAAGCCATGTGAAGATATATCTCCGTCAGTATCAGCCGATGAAGGCTCTCAAACAGTGTGTCAGCATACAAAACAAAATTAAGATTGACATACTTGATAAATGTGACAAACTTACACATGTAAGTTGAAGTGGCTTTCTTATTTTGCCGAGTAAAGATGGACATTTGAACAGAATTGTGTTTTAAGTGTGCGTCTGCCAACATCTCAGTAAGAGTATGCATAATAATAATATTTTAGTTCCACCGCAGAATGATGTTTTCTGCTATTAGGTGGGAAATATGCTCATATACTGGTACAAAATGAGTTGGAAAATATCAGCAAAATTGCACTCTTGTATTATATATGCATACAGGACTTCCAGAAATATCTTTAAGGTGTTTTTGAAACCTTTTTATGTTTCAGTGGAAAATCAGAGGTTCAATAGAGCATGTAGGCCAGTGGGATAGTTTCTGATAAAAGATTGAGGTTAAGTTCTTCGAGCACAAATGTCATTTACATCACTGAGAAAGCAAACGTTTTTTCTTCTGTCTCTCAGAGCGGGAGGGCCTGTCCGCCTCGGTGACTCATTACGGCTCCACAGACAGCAGCGGCGAACATGATCTCCAGAGTAACAGTCGAGACAGCAACCATAACAACCACAGGTTTCCCACGGCAACAGCAAGTCAGTGGGTCACGGCGGATCAGGAAGAGGAGGCCATCCGCAGGAAGCTGAAGTACTTCTTTATGAGCCCTTGTGATAAGTATCACGCTAAGGGCCGCAAACCTTTCAAACTGATCCTGCAGCTGCTCAAGATCATAATTGTCACAGCTCAGGTGTGTCAAATGTTACATCCACTGTTTTACTGTTTAGTTCTCCTCGTAATGTTGTTTTTCATCAGAGTGTCAGAACTACAATCAATTTGCTGTCCTGATTTTAATGAGCTTCTGATTCAATTGGTCCATTTTTTTCTTATTTTTAGATCAAAATAAGTTCTTACTCACAGCGAACTTATTAGACAAACTGACCAGAACTGATATTAAAGAAAAGGCTCAGAAGAAGGAGTGCTGTTGCTTTCGTTGTGGTTTACCCAATTCCTTGTTCCTTTTTATGCATTTTTGTTATATTTGTTCAACACATTTTAAAACTACAGCACATGCATTGTATCCTTTCTCAGCCAAAACTCAGCTATAAATTCATTTTGTCCATTTAAGCTGCCAGGAATCTAAAATACAAGAAAGATGACACAGGCTTAGATGGAAATCAGTTACAGCAGTTTAATGGTAATCACCCAAAATGTGCAGTTTTACAATTTATTTCGAAAAAAATAGAAGAAAATGTAATACATAAACCTAAAATACACTCCGTTTGCAAGAGCAAATAGTAATTGTATCCTAAGTTTTGTGCCTTTTTCATTTAAAAAGTCAGCCGTATAAGTATGTGTTTCATTATTGTTCATTTAAATAATAATTCACAGTTTTAAAACTGTCTTTCAAAAATGCTTTATGGTGCATTCAGACATAAATAAGATACATAACATTCAACAGGTTGGTTTGCATAGCAGCACTGCCAAAGTGATCGTATAATGTTTTATGTGAAACAGGCAGAAAAATAATTTTGCAGTCATAAATCTGTCCAGGCATTCCTTACTTACTGCCAGTGATTTATGAGGTGCAAAAACACAAAGATAACAGCAAGATTATATAATAGATAAACCATAAATTATGTCATATTTATTAAACACAAAGCCTGCTGTCTTTGAGGTGTATCTGGAACGTCTCAGGGTTCCTCTTTGTCTTGATATATTTCACTCTCCTTCAGCTTTTTCTTTAATTTCTAAAAGTTTCTTTTACACCTTCCCCTCTTTGCTGCAGTTAGTGCTGTTCGGCCTCAGCAACCAGGTGGTGGTGACGTTCAAGGAGGAGAACACTATGACCTTCAAGCACCTCTTCCTCAAAGACTACGATGAGTCCTCAGACGACTCTTTTGCTGTTTACACACAGCAGGACGTCTACGACAACATCTTCTACGCTGTGGAGCAGGTAAGCCTTGAACAAATGAAAAAGCTGCTCAGATCTGTGAAGCTACTTATTCGTATGAATGCTCCGATTTTTAGCTCGTACTTCAATAATAGTATTAGGCAGGTTGGTCGTAGCAGATCATTGAATGCAAAGAAATGATTCCACGTCAAGACTGGCGAGCTTGGACGTTGATTATTTGGCCATGTCAAGATGTTTAAAAAGAAAGCCAGGGTTTAGAATTAGAAAGCCAGGGTTTAGAATTAAAAACCCTCCTCAAGCAACACAAACAATACATTATACCAAATTCAGCTGTCAAAGGATTCATCAATCAAGAGATTTTGAGGAAAATATCATGATTTCAATCTCAGATCTGGTTAATTTTCCCAATGAAAGTTTAAGTCACACATTATAGGCTTAGGGACTCATCGGAAAGTTTAAAACCAACAATTCTTTTTATATTTATAGTTTCTTTCTCTGATAAATAATAACTAGAATTTGACATATTTTCTAATAATTTGTCTGTTTTTTTTTGTTGTTGTTGTTTTTTTTTAAATAATGTGCTTTTCAAAACCGCAGAAGGGTTTTGGGAAATCAGAGGGTTAAATATTACACACTGGTACGATGAGGATTTGTCTCTTTTTGGTTTAGCCCTGGTAATATTGACACATACCAACAAGTAATTCAGCATCCTGTATTATTATGTTTTCAACCTAGTGATCAATCTCTTCCACTCTTATAGTCCTACACTTTATAGCATACACCATGAACGTGTCATGTGTGCTATATGGCTTTTTGAGGACTTGTAGTATGCCTGGTAAAAAATTTAAAGGAAGGAGACATGTCTTCATACAGGCCAAGGTTTGGCTGTACCAGTATACCATGGTAGCTGAAGTGTCTACGTAGTGATTTAAAGTGTAAAAAGCTCATTCAATTACCACAGTAAAGCCACTGCAGCCAATCTCTTCTTTCTGATATAATGATTAATGACTGAATCAGTGTTTTCGTGAGTGGTAAAATACTACAGATTACATTTGTTCAATTTTGTCTTGACTAAGGGGCTAAATGCGGCTACTCCTGTGGCTGTGAGTGGAGAAAGAGGAATTGTTAAAAACAGCCTGCAGCTACACTGAGTAGATGTGTATCTGCTGAGCAGTTTTGATCAGTAGGTCACAGCTCGCTTCCTGTTTCTGCGTCTGTGCTGGTATGTTTTGAATGTCACGGCCAAATGATTTGGAGCATCAACAAGATAGAAAGAGGCATTCGGACAGATGTCAACAGATGTCTTTGTAGCTTCTAGACATGATGCTCAGTTACGTTGATGCACAAGGCTTGTCAGAAGAGTTCCAGGACTGGTGTCACAAAAGATATATTTCAAACTACAAATTACAAGTTTTCCCCTTCAAAGTAATCGCCAGCACGTCTACACAGAGATCCTGCGGCATTTGCTTCGTTCAGAAGAGGCGAGAGTTGTGGCGGGACAAGTGGTGGCTGCTTCACCATGACAACCTGCTCACAATGCCCTGAGCATCCGACAGTTCCTGACTGAGAAGAACATGACCGTGCTGGAGCAACCTCCCTACTCACCCCACCTGGCTCTGTGGGATTGTTTCCTCTTTCCCAAGCTCCAGGGGGTCATCAAGGGGACCCGTTTTGAAGACGTTGACGACATCAAGATAGCTGTGACGACAGAGCTGCAGAGGATCCCGGAGGAATCCTTCCAGGAGCGCATGGCGGCGTGGCAGAGAAGGCTGGAGAAGTGTGTTAGACTCTCGGCGGATTACTTTGAACGGGAAAACTCGTAGTTTGTAGTTTGGATTTGAAATATATCTTTTGTGACACCAGTCCTGGAACTTTTCTAACACACCTTGTGAGTACCAGAGAAGAAGTCAGGCTTTCACCAAAGGTACTCTGGGACCATGAATGTGTTTGCTATTGATCCACAAGTTTAGACATTTCAGTGCGAACCAAAATGGTGAACGTACTGACACTGTCAACCCTGGATGAAAAAAAATGGAGTCACTGGTCAAAATCGGAGTTGGATAAATGGCGCTGTTAGAGAGGATGTTAAAACTAGCCAGTCCCAGAACAACTTAGATGTTTGCCGTCCCTACTGAGTTAAAAGACAAAGGGGACACTGACAAGGTGACCTGCTGCTGCTCAGTGATTCCTCATTAATGTGACTATTTGTTTAATATGACAACAGGTGAGATTCAAACAGCAAAGTGAGGAGTAAAGACAGACAGAAAAAGTGATTTTATTGAATCTCTAGATTGTTTATACTGGAGACACTGCTGCTACAAGTCGAGGCTACAGAAACAAACACAGTTCATTTGGTGAGTTGCACAACAAGCTATAGACAAAAAGACAAGTTTAGTTCTTGTATGTGACAGAGAGCAAAGCAGGTTTTCACCTCCACTGACAGGAGACTGACTGTTGGATCGTTTGTATTCATATGTGCCAAACCATCATACCAACCATACAGACATGAGCTGAGCACAGAGCAGTGAATCTGATCCCAGAGCTGACCAAACAATGCAGTTCTTTCTGTTCAGTCTTTCTCCTTCTTCCTCTCACGTCTGTACATTTATGGAGTAAATTCATTAAGCTCTTGGATGTGCACAGATCCTTTTCACTTCCTCTAATCTCACCCTCTTCCCAGTATCTGTCCCTACCGGAGACATCAGTGGGACGCTACGCATATGTCTACAATGTTGGCGTGAACGGCAGCGCGCTGTCCCTCTGCCAGCAGTATTACAAGAAGGGAGACATCGACCCAGCCAACGACACGTTCAGGATCGACCCTCAGGTCCTCACAGGTACAGGAGCTACTCTGTGCAGTGTGAGGGAGGTGTTTCTGCACTGCGATTAACAGATCCTGAAAGCTGTCCTCAGCTCTGCGTAGCGCTAACGTGTGAACTTTTTCTCAGCCTGACAAGTCGCTGCTTCTGTGGAATAACAGTTCACATTTAATAATAGGAGCAGCGGCAGTTGTGAGGGTCGCATTTAAGCAGACGTGTCACGTTTTAAATAAAGATCGTTTGTCACGTTACGTAAAAGCTCACCACAAGCATTCATGCCTGTGTGTGTTAACACAAAGCTCATGCTTCCATTTAAGTGCAGAACAAACACAAGAAGAAAGGATAACTGTGCAAAGGGACACCAATTGAAGAAGAATGTTCTAGTGAAGGTGCTTCATGCATAGTTTGCATATGGTTTAGACGTCAGATGTCAAACAGAGTTCAGTTATCTGCAGACTGTCCGGGATGACAGTCGTCGCCTGACGGAGCGTCACCAACACATCTGTGGCTTCAAAAGGAAACGTCTGAGGAGGAATGTTTGAAAATCCTCTAACAGCTGTCATGCTGGTTGGATTCTCAACAATGTGCTACTCAGGCTTTTTTTTTTTTAATAAGTCTTTAAAATAAATAAATAAGTGTAGAGTTACAATTTCAGAAAAAGGGGGGAAAATATATAGTTTCACTTGGCATTACTGTATATGTTTCACAAAATGCGTAATTTAGGTCATAACATGCAGCACTAGTCACATTTTGTTATCTTAGTTATATAGACAATGAATTTAGAGGTCTGTGTGCAGATATTTTAAACTTGAATTAATAGAAACACTATGTATCACTTTAAGGTAATTTCCTACTTGAAATATTGACTTTGGGCTCCAAGGTGGCTCGGTGGTTAGCATCGTTACCTCGCAGCTAGAAGGTCACCGGTTCGCGAACACGAATCCGCTTTCTTCGTGGAGTTTGCATGTTCTCCCCGTGCAGCGTGGGTTCTCTCCAGGTTCTCCGGCTTCCTCCCACAGGGTCCAAATACATGTTGAGGTTAATTGGTGATTCTAAATTGTCTGTAGGTGTGAATGTGAGTGTGCTTGGTTGTCTGTCTCTAAGTGTAGCCCTGTGATAGACTGGTGACCTGTCCAGGGTGTCCCCTGTCTTCACCCTGAGTCAACTGGAATAGACTCCAGCCCCCCACGACCCTAGTGAGGACTAAGCGGTGTATAGATAATGGATGGAATATTGACTTTATGTAGGTATTGTCATATAGTTTTTCATTTCAACTAAGGCGACTTTTGCTCTCACTCTGGAGTACGGCGGCCAAAACTGTAATTATTATTATTATCACTGAACTGCTGCCCTTTTAAGATTTTTTGGATTGACCTTTTACTTTAACTGTTAAACTTTTAGCAAATGTTGCCACATAAATGAGGTGATTCTGGTTGCTTGGAAACAGCAGCATATCACCTGTCCATTTAGCATTTATAAGCAGTATGTCAACGTTGAAATCGTTGTTTTTAACACATTATATTGCAGCTATAAGCAGATATAAGTGTGTAATAATGTATTTTCTACCCATATGTAGACAGATAATGCATTAAAATATATATAGAACAAGCATATGTTACATAAAGAGAAACTCTATTTGTTGTTTACTTTATGTTGTGTGTTATCAACCATTTTTAAATTAGTGTCTGTAAGGGCTACAAGGGGAATAGGTTAAATTAAAATGCTACTAATCACTGTTTAGCACCAGCGTTTTTGTGTATGCAACCGTATTTATTTGCCATATGCACAAGCCCAGCCAGAGAAGGTGTTGCGTGCCCTCGGAGCTTCTTACTTCCTCATATGTGTATTTGAGTCAGATTTTACCAGAATATGAGGAAGTAAGCTTCACAGATGAAACAACGTCATTTTAAAATCTTTCTTCACCTCATATCAGAAGTATGTGACACACTGAGATCGGCTTCTAGTAAATCTAAAAAGATCTATACTTGTTTTGTGTTAGATTTTTCTGTATGTGAAGAACAAGTTAAAAAAAACAAACTTGCTGATCATGCTTTTTCTCTGTTTATCCTTCACCATCCTCAGAGTGTGTAGGTGTGAACCCTCTGTCAGTCCCTCCAGCTCCACTCACCAACAGCTACAAGAACTTTACACTCGAGTTCCACAGGTAAGGCTTCATTTTTCACATGGCTTCGGCTTCTCCTCGTTTGGCCTCCGCTGACGAGATTATCTCTGCGGTATCTGATGATGACCTTCCTCAGGTCCCTTATCTCTGCTGCACGCAAAAACACATACAAGCATGTATACGAGGTCACTGACCCAGAATTTGTTGGTTAAAAAAAAAAAAAAAACACACAGACCTTTGCATAGTTGTGTTTTTGGTCATTTTTAGTCCCACTTGTAACAAAACAAATGAATAACTTGGATTTGTGTTTGATTCCGTCTCAGTTTTTACCTGTTTGTTTTTCAAGGCTGATAAATGTGACCATACAGTTCCAGCTGAAGGCGATTAATATACAGACCATCATCAACCATGAGATCCCAGACTGCTACACGTTTTACATCACAGTGAGTTAAAGACACACCCACACCTCCAGAGGTAATAACAGCAGGCTGGTTAGAGGCAGACTTGTAAACACAGAGCTCATGGTTTAATTTCCAGCCTGCTGAAGGACTTTGAGATATCCAGCAGCAGCAGTGACCTTCACAGAATTATATGTCCATCATTTAATCATATAGTTATGTAACTAGAGCTCAACAGTAAAACAAAACAAGTCACGGATGGAGCATGTTTCCTGTTTTACACCATTTTCATGTGTCCTGCAGTAGTGATAACTGAACCCAATTAATACATTTCTGTTGGTAAATGTATTCATGTTAATTATACATAGACAGTAAATAACTACATTTATTTAATTTACTTGTTCTTGTGCTTCCAACACAGTCAGCCTCATTTCAGGAGAACTCACACGTAATAATGTTAAATATTGCATTCATTTAGGAATTACAGCCATTCCCTACAAGCTGTCATAATTGTAAATATAAATATTGTTTTTAGTACTTGGATGACTGCCTGCAGCACCAACGTTTCTTTGCCTCAAGGTGCTCTTTGGTTGTTTTCGCTGTATGTTTTGGGTCTGTATCCATCTGCACTGTGAAGCACCATCCTGTCATTTGACTCTGAGCAGAAAGCATTGAGCTGTACACTTTAGAATTCTGTTTCTTCTGTCTGTGCTCACGTCATCATTAACATCAGTGACCCAGTTCTAATGGCAGCCATGTATGTCCATGCCGTAACTCTACCTCCGCCATGTTTGACTGGTACTGCTTTGGCTAAGGAGCTTCTCCTCCCGTTACCCTGGTACAATTTAATCTGGGTTTCATCTGTATGAAGAATCTTGTTCCAGGACTCTGAAAGATTTTTTTAGATGTTTTCTAGTGAGCTACAAGTCACTAGTGAATTCTCTCTTTCTAAGAATGTCCCCAATTATTGATTTGGCCACTGCTAAAGTTTCTATGATCTAACTGAAAGGTCTGTTTAGTTTTTTCATCTGAATAATGGACTCCTTCCCTTGCATATTTGGGCCACATATTCCCATGAGAATTCCCACGAACAGCTACCAAATGCAGGTTCAACTCTTGGTATCAACCCCAGACTTTTTATGTCCCTTACCCATCACGAAATAATAAGGAAACACACCGCACCTGGCAATGAAATTGTTTATCAGTCAGTTGTGTAATTACTTTAGAGCCAATAAAAATGGAGGGAATAAACATTTTTTTAAATGTGACCTTAACTCCTCAACAGTTTATGTAATATTTTTGTTGAATTCCTTGAATTAAAGCTGAAATTGTGTAACCATAATGTTTGATTGTACTTTTTTTATTTTCTAAAATACTGTTTTTCCATAAAGCTTCAAAAGATATGAATTACGTGTTGTCTTCTCCCTCTTCCAGATAGTTCTGGACAACAAGGCTCACAGTGGCAAAGTGAAGATCCAGTTAGAAAACCAGGCATCAATAAAGGAGTGTCGAAATCCGAGTGTCTCCGGACAGGGTAAGATGCCAGATCGGTGGACGGTTCGTGAAAAGATGAGCAAGCAACATAGCTGATGAAACTAGTAGCAAGCGAGCATAAGTGAGGAAATGAGTGTTAACAGTTGCTTACAGTTACCATTACTGAACCAACAGGAAGCTTCAGTTACACAAGTTATTTATACGTCACACCGTAGTAGTAGGGGTGTACTGTGGCTACAATAAAGTGAGCTATGGCTTACAGCTTTTCTTTTCTTTTTTTTTTGTACCCTTTAATCCCCCAGTTGGGAACTATACACGTGTAGCGTTTGATGTCACTGTGGCTCTGGTGTGTACGCTGTCACTGCTGCTGTGTGGGCGCTCCATACTGAGAGGCATCATGCTGCAACAGGTAAGGAGAGACCGTTACAACCAAAGAAAAACAGAGTGAGAGCTTTGAGCATCGCTAGCATCAGTCCATGCAATGTCATGCTTTAAACGGTAAAAACACAGAGCTAAAATCAAGAGAAATAGTGACAGAAAAGTCAAAATGAGTGTGTATATTTATTGTCCGTGAAGGTGCAGCCGTTTAAGTGCTGATTACAGGTACCAATCATTTTAATGGTTTGGCTAATACCTCTGTCTGCCTCTGCTTTTCAGGAGTTTGTGCAGTTCTTCAGGGAGACTCTGGATCGTAAGGTGTGCTGGGCAGACCGGCTTGAGTTCATTAACGGCTGGTATATTCTCCTAATCGTCAGCGACATCCTCACCATCACCGGCAGTATCATCAAAATCGGCATTGAGTCTAAGGTCTAACATCAGCTACAGATTTTCTAGGCTGTTTAACATGCTGCACTTGTAGCCATTTGCCTTATTTATAATGTTTTGTCAAGAGAATTCATACTATGTGTTTGTTATGTTGTCTTCCAACAGAATTTCTCCTCCTATGACCTCTGTGGCATCCTCTTAGGAACCTCCACTCTCCTGGTGTGGGTGGGAGTCATTCGCTACCTCACATTCTTCCAGAAGTACAATGTAAGTCACTGATATTGTAATGGACAAGCCTAGGGCAAACCTGGTCGCAGCATGAGGCCCTTCTCCACTCTTCCCACTCCCAAGAAGGCCAGCAAGATGGTTGCAGGAGCAGAGCCCTAAATCAACAAAAAGAATATCCTAAAACTCCCTCACCTAATAAAAAAAAACCAATGCTCAAACAAAAGACAGGTTTCTGCCCTAACTTTCAAGAAAACAACATAAGAAACAAGGAGACAAAATGGATGCTCAAACATGTGCTTCTATATACAGGTGCATATTTACAACACGCTCCTAGTTTTTATCGTCTAACACGCTGCACAAGATATACTCAGACCTTCCATCCATCCATTATCTATACATCGTTTAATCCTCACTAGGGTTGCGGGGGGCTGGAGTCTATTCCAGCTGACTTAGGGTGAAGGCAGGGGACAACCAAGCACACTCACATTCACACCTACGGACAATTTAGAATCACCAATTAACCTCAACATGTTTGTGAACTGTATGGAGGAAGCCGGAGAACCCGGAGAGAACCCACGCTGCACGGGGAGAACATGCAAACTCCACACAGAAAGATCCTGGGTGTCCTCACCAGGACGCGAACCGGCAACCTTCTTGCCACTGCGCCACCTTGCAGCCCCTACTCAGACCTTAACAATACTAATATTGCTGTATGACACACAAGGTCCTACACATTCTACATGTAACAGGCTGGCTTTTGTTGGGCGTGGGAGAGAGAAGAAGAGGGAGAGGAGGAGGTTTCCCTCTGTTTAAAAAGGAGGAGAATAAACTTCTGCCATCTTAAAAGGCAGACACACATCAAAATACAATAATATGATCCAGGGTCGTAACAATACTCTGGTTCTCATCTTCTGATAATGTTGTAACTTGCTGCTGATTTAATTACTTTGCAGAAGGTGAGAAAATGTTCCATCTAAACGCACTGATGTGATAAACTCAGGTAATCTAAGCTCGCTGCTCTCTCTCACACTGTAATTTGATCTGTGCTGCAGATCCTGATAGTAACACTTCGAGCAGCTTTCCCCAACGTGATTCGGTTCTGCTGCTGCGTGGCTGTCATCTATCTGGGCTACTGCTTCTGCGGGTGGATCGTCCTGGGACCGTACCATGTCAAGGTGAGCAAGACTGAAATCTTCTGAACAGGATTGTGATCAGTATTTGGTGTCACAAAACAACTTAAGTAAAAATGTCAGCAGCACCTGTTTTTAAACATATACAGTCGTGACTTGATAATCTGAACCTTAACAGTCAGAAAACCTTGCTATCTGACAGGTTTTTAGGAAAAACGAACGGAACCCATAAAAAGTAGCCTTAACAAACCCACAGCCTTGGATTCCGACTCTGACAACCTAACCCTAACCCTAACCCACCGACAAGGATAATATTATCTGATTTAAGAATCTGACAGATTGGTTACGTTCAGACTGCAGGACTTAATGCTCAATTCGGATTTTTTTGTGAAATCCGATTTTTTTTGTGAGTTTGTTCACATTTCCAATTAAACACGACTTGTATGTGATCTGCTGTATGAACTTCATACGACCCAAAAGTGTTCCGCATGCGCAGAAGAGGACACGACGATGCAGTGAGCGTGCTCAGTGTTTGCCAAAGTAAACACGGATGGTAACGGTGGAACGTACCTGCCACTCCCCCAGCGCCACCAATGGTGGAAACAGAGCTGTGACCGCAATCCTAAACTGGTGTGTTCCAGCCACTTCCTCCCCGGGGTGTAAGTGACTGGAACGTGCACAAGCGCACTGGTCAATTAGGCGTGAAATCCAATGATGCATAGTGTTCTAACAATACATTAGTTATTATAACAACTATAAACAATAAATATTAACAACAAATGAGCCTTCAAGCATCAAGCCCTCCTTGTATCTCGACCTCCGTCTTGACAATCCAACAGCCTTGCTATCCGACATAAAAGAAGGTTTTACATTTAGTGTCAGATTATGGAGTCACAATGTAGGATAAATTGTATGAGTCATCTGTGTCTCTAAGAATTAAAGGTTAATCTCATGTCAGCCAAACAAATGCCATCATGCCAATCTGGTGATAAATGTTTATAACTCTTCATTAATTTATTTAAACTATTCATTGATATACAAAGTGAGCTTACAGTATGGTGCAAAAGAGTGATTTTATTTAACAATCTTCGCGTTTTGTGTCTTGTAAATGCATATGTTTTATTTGTTTTCTCTCGTTTTACATCACTTTTGGATACTTGTAGTTTGTAATTAGTTTTGACTCTCTACATAATCTGTACCGTTATAAGAATCTATCATTTCTGTAAATCTAAGAGCCTCTTAAACACAGTGCATCCGTCAGTTGTAAGTTGACGTAAACATTCTCGTTCTATCAGCATACGTACCAAACCAGCATTCAACCAAGAAGTATCCCGTATCCTCTATAGGCTGTGTGTCATAGATGATGCCGTTTCTGCACCAACCACAAAAAGTGACTCAGTAAAATGCTGCACTCCAGAGTTGAACCAGAGAAAACTAAGCTCAGCTGTTTCCCTGTTCCTCCAGCGGTAGATGTCCTGAGTTGATGCATTACACAGAAATTGCTGAAGCCACATTTCTTCAGTTTGTACCGTCTTCAGGAAGTTGCTCCTTACTAACTGAAGGATTTCTCTCCATATCTTAACCTTTGCAGTTCCGCTCTTTGTCCATGGTGTCGGAGTGTTTGTTCTCCCTCATCAACGGGGACGACATGTTCGTGACGTTCGCGGAGATGCAGGAGAGCAGCACTCTGGTGTGGCTCTTCAGTCAGGTTTACCTGTACACCTTCATCTCCCTCTTCATCTACATGGTGCTGTCTCTGTTTATCGCTCTCATCACCGGAGCTTACGAGACCATCAAGGTAGGACGTTATCGCAGTTAAAGGAGAACTCCACTCATAATGTCACCACAAGGAGAATTCATATCCAGAGTGTCATTTCCTCCTTCTTGCTCAGACACAGTAAAACCCACAGAGTACAAAGACACAGGAGAAAAATACGACATATAAATAACCATAGTATATTTACGCAAATTTTCACAGCACCAAACCCAAGAACCCATCCACATTACGGACCTGCACGCCTTCATAGCAGAGTGTACGGATGCACCAAGCTCTGGGAAGTTCAGGGGTCTGGAAACCTCGCCGTGCTCCTTCTTCTGCTGCTGTGACAGGTGAGTGTTTATCTTACAATAACAGGATCAAGGTGTAGCAGGTGAAGAGCAATCTGATCGTATCCTTTTTTTTCTTTAAATAAATGTGATCGCAAAACTTTACTGTCATAAAGATTGCAAAGGGAATGACAAGCCAGCCAAACTTAAATTAAAAATAAATAAATAGATAAATAAATAAAGGGAGGGAAAATCCCCTGAGGCCAACAGCACAATGAGCCTTTGAAGCTTTGCACACCCCATCAGCTAAACCAAACTTACAGGATAAAGCCATGAAAACGCTATCATCACCCCCAGACAAAGAAGCAACTAAAACAAAACTTGTATCGGTCGCATTTCTAAAACTGAAACCAGACAGTAGGAGCATGAGAGTGTTTCTGCATCGTCTGTTTAGGTTTTAATTATCAGCTTGGACAAAGTACAGCTGAAGAAAACCAGGTTACAGCAGATATGAAATTTAAAGGAAATGCACATTATGACCAGCAGAGGGAGCACATACCGGCATGTAAACAACACATCAGGGACGATTAAAACCAGACAGCAGCAATAAAACATTAGAAAATACATTTGAGCTACAAACAAAAACAATTAATGTGAGGACCTTTGCTATATATTCAGCTATACTGTCTGAATCTCTGCTGTCATTATATAAATAAATGCAAGGGTTGTAAATACTTTTGAGGTAGTATTAGTCCAGTGAACATCAGATCTGAAACGTATAGCATTTCTACAATGTTTTTGTAATTTTTTTTTATTGTCTGAGCTCATTTGGTAATATTTTCTGACTGTTTTTGTAAATATCACTATTCAGCGACTCTAAATACATGATTATACTATCAAACATAAAGACTGCAGAAAACCGTTGCATGAGCTTTTTCTTTTTTTTTTTTTCCTGTGATCTCCAACAGAACAACAACATATGAAGATGTCCTGCTGGTGAACTGAAGTTGACCTCAACGACCTCAAACGCCTCACTCGCCCCCCCTGCTGGCCAACAGGGAACACTCGCACACTCCTGACAGCACTGTGTCTGCATCAGTGTACTGAATCTGGGTCAAAGCTCTGAAAAGGGGGGGAGTCGCCATCAGCCGGACCAGCGCTCCACAGCCTTCTTATCGGACCTCTTATTTTTCTTTGACTCTTTGGAGAAGGAGCTGTGAGCCGAGGAAGGGCCGGACCTTAACTCTGTATTAATGGGACGCAACGTGGGCGACTAGCGCACAGACATTTCTCTAGTCTCCTGTTTGTTTTAAGACAAAAAATACAGTATTTTTTTCGATGCACAATGCTGAAGCAGCAGCACGGCCTGTTGTTAAGAGACCAGGTGAGCCATAGTGATGACTGCAGCACTGCACACTCGGTGCCGACTCTTTTTTATTTTTCCTTTTATAGAATTTCACTACAATTACCTCCTAAGAACAAGTGAAGTCTTTCTACACCTCTCAGACCATATTTACCGTTTTCTTGCTCCCAACTAATTGATTCCAAACAATATAATGTCCCTTAAAACTGCAGGAATCAAGACGGGGCAAGACGTTTGTAGTATTCTGTCTCGTTTTTAGACAATCAGATAGCATTCAGAGATATATTGGACCACACATAGACGTCCGATGTGAGATTTCAGACGTGGAATCGACTTGTTTTTATATTTAAAGTTTCAAACAGCGTCTTTAGCTGCATCACTTTGCCTTCAAATGTGGATTCTTAGTTTAGTTTTTTTTATTGCTGCACTTTGTTGCTCTGGTGAATTGTGTGATGTGATGCTTTTATCTCGGTAATGATCAGCGTAATGGGATGCACTCATTCACTAATGAAGCACTCAGCGTTGCCTGTGGTTGGCTACGACAAGGCAAAGCTGCTCTCCTGACCCGTGTTTCTTTAATGATGTCGAAGTATTATCAAGAAAATCCGACTTTGTTCTTTGTGCAGAAGTTATAAATGTTACCCCCTCGTCCTCTCCATTTATGGACAACACTGACGGCCGTTAACAAACTGCATCTGACGTGTTTTCCCTGGAACAAAAAAAAAAGAATGGACTTGAAGGAAACAGAATAACGTCCTGTCATAGTAACTCGCAGAGCTTTTTAGTCTTTCGCTGTTTTAGTAATGATGATGCCTTGTCGAAAACTGTTGCCTTTTCGTGGAAGCTTGAATAATCCAGATTTTACTTTTCCTTGTACCGCATAAAACGCACAGTAGTTAAAAGAGTCTGAAGAGATGATCTCTGCTCCAATCAGGAACGCATTAACGAAGTGTGAGACGGCAGTAATTTTTCAGTCATCTCATATTCTGTCTGATAGATAAGCTAATCACTGTCATATTGAAGCCAAAAACATCAAATAGAAAATTGGATTTAGATGCCAAACGTATCCACGGCCTTAACTTTAAATGGTATGACGTGTATGATGTTGTCTTGTATGACCAAGATGTACCTTCCCTACTGTTTGATGGTGTCATGTTGTTGTTGTTTTTTTAATACACAAATTGTCTGCACTTGAACTGTACTTGAGAGAGTTAAGATATACTGCCAAACAACAGATTAAAGCCTCCCAGGTCATCTTTGATATTAAAACAGTTTTATGATGTCTCCACTAACTTGACGTCTGTTGTAGTGACGCTGACGTGTCAGTAGAGGGAGAAAGTAGCTCATGTGTCTGGATTCTGGATATAAGTTTATTTTTATTCTTTGTTTGTTCAAAAGGGAACATTGGGGAGGGGGATTTAAGAGGAACTATCATTCTGTCGGGGTGAATTCTCTGCATGTTTCCGCTGGAAGGCTGCAGCACAGAGCTCCACAGAAAGTAAATTACAATTCTGGATCTTCCCCACTTCAGAACGGGCCGATATGATGAGCTCATTTCCTGGTTGCTGAGCTTCTCGAGCGAGGGCTTGGCAGCTGATGTAGCACATCTTTGCCTTCCACCCATTTAACCTAATATCATCATGCATTATGTAGGAGCCTCATGTTGGGGAGTGTGTGAGACAGAAGGAAAGGTTGGTAGTTTAATGCGTTTCATAAGCACGCTTCACTTATCTTCCTGGAGTAGAGACTGTCTGTTTGCATGATGTGTGTATGTGCAGGAATATTTCACTCAGTGTCTTTTGATGCACAATGAAAGCCAAAAGGGAAAAGCTCCTAATGGTCTATCAATTGTAGTGGCAGTCTGCTGCTGTCAGTTGTGGTCCATTGTTGATGCCAGTTTGATCTCAGTTTGAGCTGAAATGTTGCTCCACTCATTCGATTGTGACTGAACTTCGTGGCCTTATGTATTAACAAAGCATCTCAGATCAAAAGCACAGGCCGGCAGCCGCCACCGTTTCCTTTTCCTCTCGTATGTAGCGAAACTGCAGGCGGCTGAGTTTGTGTTTGGTGTGTCACTGTGTGTGTGTGTGTGTGTGTGTGTGTGTGGGCTTGTCGAGTGTGTTTCGTGCCCCAGGCGGTGTGTTCAGCTGTCTTTACTGTGAGGTGTTTGGGCAGATGGGTATCCAGACCACACTGGAGAAACTGATTTAAAAGAATTCAGTTTGTATATAAAAGCCCTTCAGAATTTTCAGTCTATCCTAATTCTGTTAAGGTTTTTTTTTTTTTTCTTACCAGAACCCAGTGCTGAGCCACACCCTGGTGTAACGACATTATGAAGCAATCTGAAATGGATGGGCAGGATGTGTGGGGATTTAGCAGCTTTTTCAGCTCCACCAAATAATGATGGATGCCATTAGTGTCTCGTTTAGTCAAATGCTAGAAGGAGTCTAAAATCCTTTACTGATGGATCCACACATCCCAAGAGCAGAAAGCTGTCTGTGGTGAAAAGAGTTTGTTTTTTTTGGGGAGGGGGGGATCAGATTTGCATCAACAAAAGTAATACATTTAAAGTCATGTTTAGAAAAAGCGAGAAAAGTGATTTCAGAGTCGCAGCAGCTTCTTAACAACAAGTTTGAGCTGAAGAGTGAAACTTTGAGGAGAGTTGTGGATTTTCCCCCTCGGTCTGGCACGGGGCCCCTTACCGACTGGAAAGGCTGACAGGCTGCTGATGAAATAACCGCCAGAGTCCTGCAAAGAGCAGCGATGGAGAGACACATGACTCACTCACAAACTCTTCACTGAGGAGAACGTGAGCGTTTTCCACGTCTGATGGATTCTGGTGAGCCTTCATTCTTCCCTTCTCTCACTTTTCTACTGGCCTTTTTTTTCTTTTAAACGTCTCCGTTCTTTCTCCTCGTCTCTGGGCTTTATTAGGGAAAACAACAGCCGATGTCAGATGTCTTAACCCATTCACTCTTTGAGCTGCAGCAGGCTTTGTATGTTTCTCCCTTTTCACTGTTTTCTGTTGTGCAGCCTGCAGCTGCAGCTCAAAGACACATCATTCACAAAACGCATTCATCTCACAGCTATTGTGCGCCTGTACCAGAGGGAAGTGGACACTGTACTAAACTGCGAGTACCGGAAATGAACAATGTAAATCTAACATTAACTTTCTGAGGGTAAACTCTGCAAATCTCACAAAGTTTGTGTTTCAGAGTTTCAGCACAGAGAATAAACATGTGGGAGGAAGAAAAACGGACGAGGAGTGTCACTGCTTTAGTGTCTGAAACTGTTCCCAATTAGAGCCTCCTGGGAAACTCCCGTGTGATTAGATTGTGTTGCAAACAACTTGCAAACTAAAACAGTCATGATTTCCATGTGAAGCTACTTAAGATCTGCTGTTCGTTAAAAAAAAATGAACATAGTTGCACATTTATTTTTAAGGAAAATAAAACAAGAGTAAAGTTCATGCAGGCAACAACATGAGTTATAAATGACTCTATGAGAACCTTAAAAACATGGAAGCAGCACATTGAGACCGCTGACTGTGGGATGGCTGCAGGATCAGGTTGTACACAAAGACTGGAGACACTTTCTCTCGTTGTTCAGACATCTGGAGAGTGAGATAAAAACAGGGTGGTGCCGTGTCAGCTTGGATGTTGTCTGTGTTACAGACTGAGAGCAAAACCTGCACAAAAATGATGGTATTAACTGCATTACGTGAAACTGACAGGAATCAGTTGTTTTAATTTGCCACTCAAAGTGAGGATGTATCTAACAGGTCTTTTTCTTCACCTTTGGGACTTGAGAATATTTTTTGCTTCTTCTTTTGGAGCTAAAGTAATAATAGCTGTTCAGATTGAAATGTGCTATAAACAAGGGGTTGATTGATAACACTGGGTTACAAAAACAAATTTTTTTGAAGGTGAATAGGATTTTTAAAAAACTGATTTTGGACATTTTTGCGACACTGAATCCAAAAATGACATCTGCTTTTCTATACCAGGTCAGGTTTTTATGCTAACTCGATTTTTTTTTTAATGATTTTGCCACTAAATCGATGACATTTTTTGACATTAGCGATTGATTTATTTTAGTATTTCTCATATGAAATCGGACTTTAGAAAATTCATTTTGGAAACCTTTTCATAAGCTAAATGATCCAAAAGTTGATGAGCGTAAACATTTGTAAAGGTAAATACAAGTAAATTGCATGTTTCATCAAATCTAAATTTTGACCTCATTGAGCAAAACCAATGTCATATTTGGATTCAGCACATTGCAGTTGTCCAAAATCAGCTCAAAAAACTTTGACACCAAAATGGGTGTAGACCAGTGTAATTGAATCCAATGTTCAGTATTTTTCTGATGACCTAAACGGCTCCTTTTTTAACCCATTCCTGATCAGATACATCTCAGTTGTGCTACTTTGGTTGCCTGATACAGCTGACTGTCTGTAGTAACCACATCACATGCTTGAGCAATGTCCCATTTTTGCAACTGATTGGTGACAATAAATGTAAAAAAAAAAAAAAAGATAATAATTAAATATGTAAACTGATAAAAACATTTCAGTAAAGATTAAAAAATAGTGACAGATCCTCTTCTCAGTCTTTTGCATTGTTCAGCATCCAAAGAGTGTCCAATGCACTCTGATTTTTTAATATAAAAATCTTTTATCAATATAAAGATGAAGGGACATGTTTTGACTCATCGTCTTCATCCTGGTTTGGAGTGAAATGAGAACAGCTGTTGCATTTACAGTTCATTAAGCAGACATGTGACATAAGTCAGATGATAAGTCAATTCTGCCACTTGAGAAAAACATTTACAGAATTTGACAAAATACAAGCACGAACTATAAAAGAATCTTATTTTATGAGGACAAACTAAAAATATGAAACCAAATCAGCCCTTGTGGTGCTTGTCTGACACAGTAGTAAGAGTTCATCACTATGCTGACTTTGCTTATGTTGGGAGGAAATATGATGCCACTATATATATATATAGACGGATAGATCGATAGATAGATAGATAGATAGATAGATAGATAGATAGATAGATAGATAGATAGATAAGAAACTCTTCCTCATTCTCTGGCAGTCTTAGCGTCGGCCTGACAGCAGCAGGGAGAAATAGAGTTTCCAGGATGGCTAGGCTGCTTCAGGATCTTCACAGTCCTTGACCTGCATCGTTGGGTGTAGATGTCCTGCAGGTTGGGGAGGGTGGGTCTGATAGTCCACCCTCCTCAGGATCAAGAAGTTCTGCTTGGTGCAGCTGCCCATCCAGGTGGTGATGCTCCCACACAGGATGCTCTCAGTGGTGCAGGACAGGAGCTTGAGGTCAGATTGAAATGTCCAAAATTGATTCATGCTGTGATACAATTATATGACTTCATGTACTACTGCCTGTATCCTTAAAGAGCACCTGTATTTTGTATTCTCTGAACTTCACACCGCCAGCTTTGTTGTTCTTGACCCACTGCAGCAATCACAGTTTTTTGGGGATTTCTTGTTGTTTGTTTTGTTTTGTTTTTTGGGGCATTTGCATGAAGTTTTCTATTGGAGTTTGTATGATTTTTACAGTAAATGTAGTCTTGCACATCCAGATCATTCTCTAGTGCTCCCACAGTGCTGTGTAGAATGGTCTGTCTGCACCTCATCATCATCCAGCTACAGGGATAACATTTTATTTGTATTTTTAAACCAATGACAATCATCATGGGCGGAGCTCAGAACAGGAATAAACAATGATAGTAGGATTGTATTGGTGGAACATTTGCATGCAGGGAGGTGGCCACTGAAATGGACAATTTACAGGGAAACAAATAGCAGCAACAGTTTTATTGCACAATCCAAACCTTCCAGTTTGTAATATGGCAGCTGCTAGGCTGGATCTTGTTGTTGTTGTTGTCGTTTCCCACTGTGAAAGAGATTTTTGAAATGGCAACACATAGAGAGCAGATGGTGGGCTTCTACATGCAGTCTGTGTCCACTGAGTCAGCCCACAGCAAATGTTCATGGCTTCCAAATACGTGTTGCTGGTCTCCTCAATTACAAATAATCAGTATCAGTGTTCAAATTCACCCACCATGACAACATGATCTGGGTTTGGTTCCATAACTGTCTTCTGTCTTCCTGTAATTTCCAAGTTTAGGTGTCACATGACCAGAGGAGTGTAACTTGATTGGCTGTGGGTTGGTTTGATTTCAGCCAGAACTGATTACTTATCCTTAGTATCCCAGATGTTAACACCAGATTTATTGTTTGCATCATTGTTCTAAATTGTATGCTTTGTCTTTTTTTTTTTGCTTTAACTACTTTCTTCCAGCTGCTCTTTCAAAGTATGCTTCATGTGTATGCACTCAACTGAGACAAATTCTTCTGCCAAAGTATGGCACCTTAAACTTTTATGTCTGTCGTGCAAAATGAGTTGTCACCTGTCTGTGTGCTCCAGGTGGTTTAAGCTTGTCGATACATGCACGAGTGTCGTTACTGTGCAGAGGATTGTGGGTCAGAATGGCCTGAGAGCATTCTGGTTTGCATACTGCAAAATCTCACCAGATTTTTTTTTTTTTGCAAATTGCAAACAACATCCTATTCTGTAAAACCAAACAAACAAACAACAACAAACACTAGAAAAAAAAATACCTGACTGCAAAGTTTCCAAAAAAATACACAAAAAATGGTAGACTATTATACTGTAATGTTAAAACGATTGCAAAAATTTTTTAAAAAAAGACTGAAAATACTGAGACTGCCTGGAGTGTAATAAATTATTTTGGATATGCTCATTTCTTTCCGGTGTACCTGCCTAATCGAACAGATTTGCAAAGAGTTTCTTTGGTTTAAACATCCATCCAATAAAATCACAATATGAATTTGAGCTGCTTGAATATTTATGATTGTAACTGGGAAAACTTTTTGACTTTGAATGATTTGCCAGTCTGAATTCAGAGACAAAATAGATTAGATATATTATTCCAATGCAAAATAAATAATTGACATTCAATTCTATTTGATTTTTTTAAATGACACTTCTATATTAGCCCTAGAAATATCTATGGAATTTCAATGCAAAAATAGATAAAATATTAAACATACAGAAATTAGAAGAGTTGTATTCAGAGACAAAAAAAAATAAAAAATAAAATACATTATTTCAGTACAAAAATATTAAATGTTACAAATCTTGTGAGGCAGATTTTCTTCCATATCAGCTGACCCCTCCACTGAAGACAACAAATACAGCAATTAAATAATTTTCATGCCAAAAAAATAAATATATGAATTTTAAATTCTGGTAACATTGCTTTCATATATGGACCCTAAAATAATGAAGAAAAAAAAATTGTTGAAATTTTTCGTAAAATTGTAAACAAAACAAAAAAAAAATACAGATTTTTTTTAAAAATCCAGACTTTTGATAGACTGAATTCAGAAAAGGAAACAAAAAATCTCAAACATAACTTCAATGCAAAAAATAAATAAATAAAATTAAATCCTGAAATTTTAAAAGTTGAATTCAAACAGGGGGAAAAAAATATTCTTAACTTCAGTGCAAAAACAAAAAAACAAACAAAAAAAAGGCACAGATTTTACATTTTGGTGACAAATTTGCTTCCAACATTTGCCCCAAAGGTGGTATCAGTTGACTCCTACACCCACATTCTAATCTTCTGCTGTTTTCCTCTGAATAATCCCAAAAATTAATCAGGAAGTACTGTAGCAGCTCAAAATACAGCCGAGCTGGTGTTCAATCAGGGAAATTGACGACCCCGGCGGAACCCCGAACGCGGCGGCTCGAGCTCGGTTTTGGCCGTGACGTCACTGCTGCTTTGCATAACCACCCCGGTCTCGCGCGTTGTGATTGGGCCGCTGCGCGAGGGGTTTAACGCGCATTCGGTTTGATGAGGCGCACGCTCCGCTCCGCAGCTGGACTCCTCGGTCACTCCCCCGCCCGGGTCCATCCTTCAAGAGCCGCCTGCCCGCAGCCCGCCGCTCCAACGTGGAGGGAAAGGAACACGGAGAGGGAGACGCTGCGCGGCTCTATTGTTAGTTCGGCTTGAAATTTACGGCTCGGTCGACATATTGAGTGCGTCGCCGGCGCAGGGACGAGGGAGGGACTGTTTGTTTCTCCCGGAGTCTTCAGGAGCGGAGTCGACGATTGGAAGGTAACGGACAGCGTCGTCACGTCCCTACGAAATAATTTAAGTTACGCCGCATCACCTCCTTTGTTTCTTTACAGCGTCACAATGTCCCGTTTTTGTTTTTTTTTTTTGCTCCTTTTTTCTTTGTTTACTGCGTGTTTTGTGAAATTTGTTTATGATTTATTTTCAAAGCCAGACGCCCTTGTTTTTTAGTGGCCAGCCTTGTGTCTTGACGTGATGATGGATGTGCGGTGAGCTAGCATGGCACGGAGCGGGGCTTTCAGCGTGGGGTGCTGTTACTCTCGGGAAAGGCGTTTGTCTGTGTGCGTGGACGGTGGCACCGGGCTCAGCTGGCACAAGCTCTTCGGGGGGTATCGGATTCAATTTATTGACTAGCTTCACGTGTTTCTCCGGGTGGGGTGGGGGGGAAGAAAAGCTACACAAGCTATTGTTCCGTGAGGCTCAACCGGGCCTTCTGCTCCACCGGGGGAGAGTTCAGCGTGTTTGTTCCCGGAGACAAATGGTATTATTAAAGCTCCACTTGAGGCTTGAAAAAATGCACCCAGAAACTCTCAAAACAATAGCTGTTAAAATGGACCGCCAGTGGGTGCTTGACAGACTCCCAAACAGCCTCTTTCCTGGAACCTCAGCCATAAATCTGATATATTCACATTAAAAGTCAGTTTGAAGTAGTACGCACGTTGCTTTTCCTGCTCCTCTAAGTGTGTAGTTGCTTCTCCCCAAGATTATATCAAGCTCTGTTTTCATGCTTGCATCCCTGCACATGGAGTGATCTCATCCTTGACTTGGCAGAGCAGTGCTTTAAAGCAGACTATCAGACGGCACAGTCTGCAAATCCCAGTGATAGAGAGATGCTGTTTATCATCCCAGCTTTGGCTCTGAATCCACATTACATAATCACAGTGTTTTGGACTGGACTGGGTGTGGTTGGCAGGGTTTGGACCGTAGGAGCAGTGACTCTCTCTCTCCCTGGTTTCATGAAGGTATTTGACAAGCAGACCCTCATCAGGGGCGTATGTTTCTTAATCCAAAACCCTGCTCATCATCAGGGTGTGAAACCAAGTAAATGACACGGGCACATGTCCCCGCCGCCCTCCTCGTGGTTGTTCTGACTGTCTGGCTGAGCTCCAAGGGCTCGTCGCAGGTTCACTTTCTACTATTTCAATGGCTGAATCCTGTGAAATCTGCAATTCAGGTCCAAATTTGTCACAACAACAAAGTCTCGCCCATTCAAAAGACTATTCAGAAACCATGAGAGGGATGCAGCCTTCTTTATGCTGAAGTTATAGGATCCAACTGGTGCATTTCTCTGTGCACCGGTGAATAATAATAATGGCTCCAACAGTTCTAATGTGCAGCATCATGGCATTACTTCCCATTTCTTGTTAGACCTCTTATGAGATTTCAAAGAGTCAGTGTTGAGTTTGCCAGTGTTGGTCACAGAGGGCATGAATTTAACTATGTTTGACATCTGGGGACATCTGTAATAGACTACTTATACAGTATCACAATAGGGCTGCAAGTGATGACTGTTTTTGTTATCGATTAGTTGTTTGGTCTAAAAAAATGTTGAAAATGTATGTCAGTGTTTAGCAAAGCACAAGATGACATCCTCGAATGTCTTGTTTTACCTACAACCTAAAGATATTTGGTTTAGAAGTAAAAATGTTCGCATTTAAGAAGCTGAAATCAGAGAATTTTGACTTTTTTTATTTAAAAAATGGCTGATCAGTTATCAAAATAGATGGCAATGAATTTCAAAGTTGACAACAAATCTGTTTATCCTATATCAAAATCATGTTTATTTACAAAATATGTTTGAAGCTTTGGGGCTAGTAAATGGACATTAAACAGTAAATCAAGGTTTGTGGAACCATCTTAGTCCATATTTTAGACCTCTTAGTGCAAGAGCAGGTTCTGTTCGGCCTTCAAGACCCACTTTTGTTGCCAGATCCAGCCTGTGAACTGGGACACAGCTGTGTTTTTGTGCTGCACAGCCACTTCCCTTCTCCACACCTCTGTTTCCCCTTCCTCTTCCTAAAGGTCAAGGCAAACCAGAGGAGATGCTCAAAATAGTTCTCTTGTCTCAGTGCATCCTATAACCTTAAGAAAGCTCAGGGGATTGGATAAGGTGGTTTTTAAATAGAGGAAAGTGCAGGCATGATGCAGAGGAGGCTACTGTCCCCTGAAGTCTTTTTGAACAGTGCTTGTGTAACATTTAGAAATTCACCCGCTGTAGAGAAACTAAAACGTGTACTTTCAGTGGGAAGTTTGACGCTGAATTGGTTTTCTTTCGGTTCTGTTTTGTACTTCTGCCTTTTGAGTTTAAAGACTCCTTATGACTCCGGCTGGGCTGTGGTTTTTAATGAGCTGATTACAGTTGTTTAATTCAGGCATGACGGTCTGTGAAAAATGCAGGTGGTTGGCATTGTGACACGTGCGATAAGGTTTAAAATGGATGCCACACGTTGGGGAAACAAGCCACCTTTGACGGTCTGGGACTGAGAGACACGCCTACCCTGTGTTTTTGCTCGAATACTTGCAATATTCTGAATACCTTCTCGTCATTTACTTGAAAGCTTGTCAGGCCATGTCAGGTGTGAGCCGCCTTTGTCTAAACGAAAGTATCAACCTTCCGCCTCAGGTTTCACTCAAGTTTCGGTGTCATGCTGTGATACGCTGTAGGATTAATACCTCTGATGGCTGACGTTCGGTGCTGTTGATTCAGCTTAGCGTGGGTACATGTATGTCCGCGCAACAGCTGCGAGAAGTTATGAGGTTACAGATGTCAGGGTCAAGAGTTCAAATCGATTTTCCTCAGTTATCCTGTGGCCACACTGTGAGAACATGTGAGAATGTACTTCCCAATTTGCGCTACGCTTTGTCAGCAATTATCTCTCTTTTGGAGCAGTACGTAAAGATTTTTTAAATTTCGAAGGTTAATTAAACGTGGTAAAGGATAGTCAGTACAGTTTGATGTGAAATTATTTGTCTAACCAACACAAAATCAGTTTAAACTTACTGTTTGAATAGGTTTTACTTTAGCGAGGCCAATCTGAGCATGTAATTGCTGACTTCCTCGTACAATGTAAAAGTGAAATAAGTAACATGTAAACATGCCACCACCTGAAGGGACAGTGAATCACCTAGACAGACACTGTACATGAATGCGCCCTTACATTCATATACTGTAAATATATATTTTATTCATATACTGTCCAAGTATTTAGACATTTGTCTTATAATGTTTTACCAGCATTGTTTTTCCTAACTTTAATGCAAGTTAAGCCCCTTTGAATTGTGCCCATCTCAATCTGAAAGCCCAAAGTCAGCCTCTCCCCAGTCTGAGAGCTAAATCAAAATCAGGGCAGTTGAATGGAAAGCACACACCGTGCACAGCACAGCACAGAGCATTTGCATCTGCTTGGAAGTCAGCTGGTTACAGCCTGCAACCAGTGTCAGCCTCAGTCCCACACCCATGGAAATCCAATCCAAACTCTCGCCTGCCCTGCTGCATCTGTTTAGAAAGGCATCCAGCTTTAAACTATATTTCATCGTTCACCCTTAAGGTTAGCCGTCTGTCTCCTGTGTTGCTCCTCAGCTGTGGGTCGGTGAGACGGTGCGGTGCTCAAGAGTCTCGTCACTGTGGTTTGGAGGCTGGCACTCTCCTGCCCATTAGGATAAAGTGGTTGATGCTGGCGCTGCACTTTCAGGCTCTCGGTCTGTCTGGGACTGTGAATCTGGGCTCGGTACACTGTAATTATTGAAACAGTAATTCAGCACTTTAAAAGTCTGTTTGTTAGCTCACTTTGGTAGCCTTGAATGCCATCCTAAGGACATATTTTGCTGTGCCGCGCCTGTGCTGTCGTAGAGTACAGCCCAGAGCTTCTTAAAATCAATTATTTACAGGGTGCATTTTCATTACTATTTAGTTGTTGCGGCAATATAAAGGAACATATTAGTAGGCAATCAAAGAAAAAACATAAATAATTGGGGAACCTGTGTATGGGTAAACAAGATGGTATAATGTATGGTTATAACGATGCCTTGCTTTGACCCCATTTATGCGTACTGCTACTAAAGCACTGCTTTTTATTTTGATTTGTTCATTCATCGATCAAAGTCTGTCTGAGGTGAATCAAAGTGCGTAGCAGTAGCCAAGGGTGTGTGTTTGTTTAGGGCAGGCAGGCCATATCCTGTTATCATCTCTTCCGTCTTTATGCGCATGAGACGGTCCGTTTTGTGTATGTAGTGATTGTTTTGTGCGTGGATGTGTGGGTTTTGCACATTTCTGGGGAGTGGCTGTGGGTTTGGGTGGCTGTCAGAGAGGCACGCAGGCGAGGTGTAGGATCAGTGTCCATCTGGCCTCAGCTCACCCTGCCCAGTCAGAGGCACGGTAACTGATCCAGCCCGCAGGCTCTCCAGCATTATATTGACTATCTGCCTGCCCGTTCATCTACAGCCCGTTGACCGGTGCGCAGGAGAGTAGCCATTGGCCGGCTTTGATATGGCAAACCTGATGTCAGCTCTGGCTTCTCTACAATCAACCATCCGCCACAGAATTGTTTAATGTAGGTTTTTTTGTATGTTTGTATTTAACTCAAGTTACAGAAAATTTCTAAGGTTTTTAACACACTATGTGAATAGGAGAGTATTTTTTTTTGTCATGCCTGCACAGGCTTATCCAGCTGCTACTGTCTGCTTTTGTTAGGAAGTTGACTGTGGAAAGCAATAGGAGATATGGGGGGGAGGAAGGAGGAGATAATAAAAGTCCTTGGTAGGAAACTACTATGAGCTTGATACTGTAGTATGACTGGTCAAAATCGATTTTATGGCCATTGCATAATTTTTTTTTTGCTAGCACATGGCCTTTCTTCTTTGCCCTTTTGTATAGGAGGTAGGAGATTGGACATTGCTTGACTTTTTTTGAAAGGCTGTGAAATAGCATTGAACAGACCTCATTTATCAAGCAAAACCCTGACCTGAAACTGATGCTTTCTGTC